TTTTTCCCTGTGCCATTCCACATTATTACAAATAACTTCATTTCTGGACCTTTATGGTTTGATACCTTTGTATGTATGGATCACTTGGGTTGTTACCTGCAACTGGTGAAAATTTCATGTCATTAGCACCTCTAGTAATATATTTACTGAGAAAAATGTTGACATGTTCAATACTTATTTTACCCGCTGTAGATGCACAGGCTGCATGGCAGGTGACCAGAATCTGAAGTTTTTTTTAATTGACCAATGACTAGTAGGCTGCTAAAAAAACAGCCCCTCAGCCCCATGTTCTTTGCTTCAGAGGTCTCAATAAGTCTTTCGTGATTCCACGTCTGACATCTGAATCATAAATAAAATATCTGTCCGTGTGTTGTCTCTTGCTGTGTGGCTGAACACCACACACTGTAGGACCAAACCTGGTATATCAATAATTTTTTTTTATCCTCATGTGTGGTGTCTGAAAATCAGCTGACTGTTTWAAAATCTTGCCATGTGACCCAGCCTTAAAGCTGTAATCTGACACCTGAACAGGAGCAACGAATTAACAGAGAAAAAATACAAATAAAAAAATCGGACACAAATGTCCCGGTCTAAATTCCACACGGATAATAAATATTAATTATTAGGGGAAAAAATGCTCCAAATCTGCCTATCAAATATGTACTCCAGCAGATAAAATCATAAATTTGGTGACAGCTGTCGAGGTGGCATCAAAGTGAGCCAAGGTGGATAAAATAAACGTCCGCAGCCAAGAATACTGTTTTGCAAAGCATGAACATGAAATAGGCCAATTTTTTTTTTAAAAAAACTGAACTCTCAAAACACAGCAGCACGGATCGCTGCTTTGCCTGGTCGTAAACACTCAGGGTTCAGAAGGCTGTAGCTGAAAAATCAAGTATTTTCTTGCAATTGTGAGGATTTTTTCATCATCTTATCCCAACAGTCACAGCTCAGTGAGAGACCCCCTTAAGCAGCTAAGTCATCATAGCAATAGTTTGTTTTCAGTGTGGAGATTTTTGATCGGGAAGATATAAAGTTAGCTATTTTTAACATCTGTAAGATGTTATCCACGAGGAATAAAAAAGCTAAGAAACATTTTCTACAGCGGTATCTGCTGTTCACTTAATGCTCAGTAACTTAAAGACTGAGGTTTTGCTTTATTGTGCCTGCTGCCGCTTAAACAGGTGACATAATAAAATCCTGAAAACAGAAAAGAATGGAGAATAAAACAACTATAAACCCTTAGTGGTCAAACGTAAACACGATGTTGAACACTGGTGATGTTAAAGTACAGTATTTGCTTTGAGGTGATGTCGATTCAAATAAACTGAAATTGATTGAAACACATTTTTCTTGTAAAATTATCGTTGTCAAGCACCTTTACAATTTTACTTTTCACTGGCAGAGAGAGCAAGTCTGGCAACCTGCTGTCATTTTGGAGAAAATGGAATAGCAAAAAATAAAAATAAAAAATCTATATTGAACCCTTAAT